CTCTACCCTACTTCTCTTTTCCACGAACAGTAACTGAGAAAGGTCAATCCCACCTTTTATTCAGGAGGCTGCCAGCTGCAGGCCTCACTATGGGCTTGCCAAGAGGGGAATGCTGAAAGGGGGAATCCTCGATGCTTTGGCTGGCTTCACCGTCACCAAGCTTCTTCTCCTTCAGGGAAAAGGGCTTCTTGCTGGGACCTGAAGACACAGCAACAGAACAAGGTTTATAAAACTCAAAGAAACAACCATGAGATACAGGCTGCAGTTGGAACTTGCCATCCCACTGGCCTTGGGTAAAGAGCTCACACTTGCATGTCAAAGGCCCTGCACAGAGCAGCAAATTATGGAAACAATAACTGAAAACTCACTTATTTTCTTCTTGTGCCAAAAGACAGCCATGTCCTTATGCAAATTTTTTGCCTTCTTCCGGGCCAGGGCTGCCGATGCCTAAAAAACAGTTCACAACCATCAAGTATGAGGACACATGGAGACCAGAGAAAACATAACTGAACAATTGAACGCTGCAAACACAACAGGCTACTCAAAAATAAGAGATCCAGCAAGATGGCTGAGCAGGTAAAGGTGCTTGCCACCATGCCAGAGACCTGAGTTCAATCTCCTAGACCCACACAGCAGAAAGAATGGATTTCCACAAGTTGTTCTGGGACCTCCAGATGCACTCATCATGGCACACTAATGGCTTCTACCCCTAAATGCATGCGCGCGCGCGCACACACACACACACACACACACACACACACACACACACACAGCTGTTGTCTGACCTCCAGACATATGCCACTGACCCTATACCACACCCACAATAACAAATAAGTAAAAATTAAGTTATGAGAACATGCTTTCTCCTTTTTAAGTTCTTATGTAATTTAACCTTTCTACATGAACATTTGAAAAGTAATAAAGATACAAAGTTACACATGGTGAAACCATACAGCCAATGCTTTACATAAACACTGAAAGCTGGCTACAAACCCAACAGTTTTTTTTTTTGTAGAGAATGGGATTACCAGAGACTTTTTCTCTGTATTGTTTGAATGTTTACAGTAATCATGAACTTAGCCAAATAAAACAAAAGAAAAACCAGAAAATTTAAAAAAAAAAAGAAAGTACTAACGCAAGCCAGGTGGCAGTGGTGGTGCAGACCTTTAATCCCAGCAGAGGCAGACAGATCTCTCTGAGTTCGAGGCCAGCCTGGTCTACAGAGTGAGTTCTAGGACATCCTGAGCTACACAGAGAAACCTGGCTGCCTTGAGTTTTAAAAAAAAAAAAAAGTACTATGACTACAGGGATTCAGTAGAACCAGACTCCACAGGAATCACTCTGCACTCCCCTAGAGCACTGCACTCTACAGGGACCGTAGACCTGCATACTCCCAAGTTAAACAATGCTGTCACCACTCAAGTGAAGAATGAGATTCCTAAAAAATTATTTCAGTAAGCTTACCTAGTAATAGATGTTATTATGGTATTTCATATATACGTATCATTATACTTTATTTTAATTTGATCCTTTCCCTTACATCCTGCCCCTGTGTTCCTGCTCGAAACTTCCCTATACTCCCCCCAAAACAGTCTCCCTTCTGTTTAAAGGTCACCTGTCCATTACCCTCGTTATCACGCCCTCCCTTAAGGGCTCTTCCTCCTCATGATCCCTTTTCTAATATCATGATCCACACCCCCACACACATACACACATATATTTACACACATATATAACTCTAGAATGAGATATTTGAGTGCTTTCCCTATAGTCTATCAAGCAAACAACTTATGGATGAAAAGGGGAAAAAAAGTTTACAAGTGACAAAGTTGGAGCTGGACAGATAATCAGCTGCTGTTCCTGAGGACTGGATTTTATTCCCAGCACCCACATGGCCACGTGGCACCTTCCGGCCATTTGTAACTCCAGTTCCAGGAGTTCTAATGCTCTCTTCCAGCCTCTCTGGGCATCAGGCATACAAGCGGTGCACAGACAAACATGAAGGCAAAACACTCATGCACATAAAATAAGAACAATTTAAAAAAATTTTTTTTCAGGTTGACTCAGGACTCAGAACACAGCTCAGTGGTAAAGTGCTCGTACGACATACTCAAATCCCTGGGTTTGATCTTCTGCAAAAAAGAAAAGAAAAGAAAAGAAAAGAAAAGAGAAGGGAAGGGAAGGGAAGGGAAGGGAAGGGAAGGGAAGGGAAGGGAAGGGAAGGGAAGGGAAGGGAAGGGAAGGGAAGGGAAGGGAAGGGAAGGGAAGGGAAGGGAAGAAAGAAAGAAAGAAAGAAAGAAAGAAAGAAAGAAAGAAAGAAAAGAAAAGAAAAGAAAAGAAAAGAAAAGAAAAGAAAAAAGTCCCAGAGTTCTCATCTAGAGTAAGGAGAGGCAAGCTGGGAGTACTCACATGATCAAAAAAATGCACCACTGCAAGCTTCTTGCTGCGCCTGGTGAAGACCCGGTGAACTTTAGCAATTTTGCTGAAGTGCTTCTCCAGGGTGGCTCTGTCATTGAGGTAGTCAGGGATGTTCTTCAACTGGAGGGCGGTGGGCTCTGAAGAAGACACGCCCCCAAGACTGTCTGTGCTCTCGCTTCTTTTACTTTGGCGCACAGACATTCCCCTGAGAGAATCTGGAATTCAGAAGGCAGACACAGAAGTCCATCAGATAGAACACTTTCAAGCAAAAGGAGTCACTGCTGCATAAAGCAAAGTAAATGCTCACAGATGTCAGGCGGGCCCCAAGGCTCAATGTTAGGATCTAATATTCTGGCAGGAACTTAAATCAAGCAAACACTAGGAAACATACAAGAGCTAGCCACTGAAGTATACTGAGTTGTACACTCCCAGAACCCACCTTCTTTTTCATCTCTACCTTCTTTTTCTTCCTCTTTATTCACAGCTGACAGGCGAGAAGGTCCAAGGATGGGCTGACTCCCTCCTGGAACAGCTGCGTGGTCACTTTCCCCAGATTCCACGAAGCCACTTTCCTTTTTTGATTCCTTGCTGCCCAGGCGACCTACTTCTTTATTGCTTTTGAAAACATCCTGTATTGTCCGACCAAACAAAGTGCCTCCCCGGGGTCTGTTCAGGCGGACTGGCCGTTTATCTGGAGGGTGGTCCCCCCTGGATAGAGGGTCTGAGTCTTCTGCTGCCTCATGGCAATGTCTCCTTGGGGAACGATCCTGGTCCTCTTTCCTCTTTAGTCCTTTAAGGGGTGTAGGAAGTGGCTCCACCACCTCCTCACATCCTTGACGGACACCTGTTTTGTTGGCTGGGAACGGGTCCCCCAAAGACCCGGATGATGCGATGGAGAAAGTAGTGAAACTACTGCTGGAACTTCCAAATACTGATTTAGGTCCCTTCTTTTCTTCTTCTGCATTTTGGTTGGACGAAGCAGGGGTAAAAGCAGATGTATTACTAGTAACTGGTTTTGAAAAGATAAAACTTGAGCTAGTCACTGAACTATTTGTCACCTGAGGAAAAGAAAACGGGGACAGGCCTCCAGATCCACTACTAACAGGGTGGGAAAATGTGAAAAATCCAGAAGCAATTTGGCTCTGGGTTTTCTCTGGCTCTGCCTCAGCCCCCAGTATTGGTCTGAATACTGCATTTTCCAGAGGTTTAAACTTGAATTCCGATTTCCTGAAGCCAGAGCTTGCTACTTCTCCAGTTTCTGGCCCAAAAGTAGAACCACTTGAGAAAACCCCCACAATGGAGGGTGACTTAAAACTGAATCCTGTATTTCCGGGCACAGATGAACTTGAAGGCCCAGAAGTAGCTGCAAAAGAGGGTGTAGATTCAAGACCAGTAAAAAGCCCAGTACTTGAGGTTTGGGTAAGTCCAAACGTTGGCAAAGCAGAAGAATGACTTACTCCAGAGGTTGCTGCAAAGCTTGGTACCTGCGAAAAGCCCAGGCTCTTGCCTAGTGTGTTGTTTTGTCCAAAAAGGGAAGGCTGGCCAAATCGAAAAGGTGACTTGCTCTGGTATGTTCCTGTGGTGCTAGAAGACACTGCAAAAGCACTGGGCTGCTGTCCACTGAAGGGGTTCACCGGGTTCATCTTCGTCACAATTATTTGAAGGCAGTAAATATGGTCTGTACACAACTAGCCTTCTTTCTTAAACTATGTGTTGCTTGGGGGAGTTCTCCTTCATCCTCGGCATAATCTGAAAAACAAAAGTTCTGGACATCACAGCATGTTTTGCTACAAGTCTTAAATCACGGATATTCTAAGGACAGTTATTTGAAGGGCAAGTGCACGATGGGACACTGACCGCTCACAGAATCAACGGGTTTTTCCTGTTTTGGACACAGGGTACGAGAGTACAAATAAATTACGGTGTAACGGAGGTTTGAAGGTTTTTTTTGTTTTTGTTTTTGTTTTTTTTAAGACAAGGTTTCATTTAGCCCAGGCTTGCCTCAAACAGTCAAGCACAGCCTTAAGTGCCTCAGCCTCCCTACTGCTGAGATCACAGGCGTGCTCCATCAAGTTTAGCTAAAGCCCGATCCTTTAAGATTAAAATGGAAATGCAAATCAATAAGACAAAAAAAAACATCACTTACGCCAGAGTCTTGCGATTTTCAAGGCCAGAGAAGCACAATGTAATACTGTTTAAATGTTACTGCTTTGGGTTTCCTATCATCTCATTTTCCTCCCAGTAACTCGAACTTGAGATGGCTTGCCCTGGCGTAGAACAGGTTTTTGTTGTTTTTTTTTTCCTACGCTGACAAACCTTAGGAAACCCGCCGGAAGGCCGACAGAGACCTTGAGCAATTCTGCAGGAGCACAGGAGAAGAGCGGAGGCCGCGGAAGAAGCGCGTCCGCCAGATATCGCCAATGTCCCGAGCGGCCCGTGCTCGCCCACAATCTGCATCGGACAAGCCACCAGGATCACCGCCCTGTACCAAACCGATCTTCGGGGCCGGCCCCTAGATGTGTGCGACGGATATCAAATTCGTCGGACCGACTTCCGGTCCTCCACATCCAGCTTCCGCTGCGTGCGGTGTGCTGCTATTGCCCTTCCGGCAGGGCATCAGCCTGCTGCCCGGCCTTCGGTAAGTGCGCGGCGACTTCCCCCAACGTGGCGTAGGAATTCGTGCGTGGATCGGCCCACCCGGGTGGCCGAGAGTCTCTGGACCCACAGCGACCCCTTCTCGCTCACGCTAACCCTCGCTTGGTCCTAATAGCAAGCATCCCAAAGCACCGGATTCCGCACACTGCCCAGTCTTCTCTGTTACATAGTTTCCCACGGTACATGTAAATCTCCTTAGAATTGCAGATAAACTCCACTAAATAAAGTTGTTTTTATTGTGAGTACGTGTGTATTCTTACGTAATTTATCACCTTCTAGGACTGATGGGTCTTTTCTCGAACTTTAACCACAGGTTCCTTCCAGCCGTCTTTAAAGGGCTGGGTGTTCTTCCCGAGATGAGTTTGGTGATTAAAAATCTGCAGCGGGTGGTTTCCGTCAGGAGAGCGCCACTTCGCAGGAAGATGGATATGGTCAGGAGTATTTTAGGAGTGAAGAAATTTGACCTGGGGATCATCTGTGTTGACAACGAGAATATTCAGCACATTAATAGGATCTACAGGAATAAAAATGTCCCAACTGATGTGCTTTCTTTCCCATTTCATGAGGTAAAACAACAACAAAAACAAAAAAACGGGGCGGGGGGGGGGTTCTTCACATACAGCCTACCTTTCTTCTAGAATAATTCTTGTTAAATTACAGATGTGCTTATCTTTAGCTTTGAAATTTCCCAAAAAATGCAGTGAAGTCTGGCGTGCTGTGACTGTGCATGCCTTTAATCCCATCTATTCAGGAGACAGGGACAGTCACATCTTTGTAAGTTCAAAGTCAGCCTTGGTCTACCTAGTTGTTCAAAGTCAGACAGAGCCACATAACAAGCCCCTATCTGGAGGAATTGGGGGGGGGGGAGCAGGAGGTTAGCAAACACCTTTAAACCCCTGCACTTGGGAGGCAGAGGCAGTCGGATCTTGGGTGGAGTTCAGGGCCAGCCTGGTCTGCAGAGTGACTTCCAGGACAGCCAGGATTACACAGAGAAACCCTGTTTCAAAGACTCATTTATTTATTATTTATACAGTGTTCTGCCTGCATGCCAAAAGAGGTCACCAGATCTCACTATAGATGATTATGAGTCACCATATGGTCGCTGGGAATTGAACTTAAGACCTTTGGAAGAACAGCCAGTGTTCTTACCCTCTGAGCCATCTCTCCAGCCCAAAACCCTGTCTCAAAAAAAAAAAAATCTTTTTCAGAAACAAGCAAAGAAGTGAAGCAATACGCCCTATAATCCATGCCCATTAAGTCGTTAAGTATGTCTATACCTAAACATCACAATTTCTCTATGCAGTGACCACTCTTACTCCCTCAGTTTTATTAAGGAATTCAAAAAGGGCCTCTGCAATTTTAGGTGTACCTCAGTAATTAATGCTTGGATAGAAAATTGAGAAGTAAAAACTGGTAAACATTTCACCACTTTGTGAAGGCTGCAAGAAACATCACCTAAACATCTTCACCCACTGTTAGTAGCATAAATTGGAATAATCCTTTTGGAAAGCAAATTGATAGTAGACTGTGCTTGGAAAGACTTAAAGTATGTCTATGTCATAATCTTAAAAGTGTCACACCTACGGAAATGAATCTAACCTCAGCACTCGGGGAGGCAGAGGCAGGCACATCTATGAATCTGAGGCCAGCCTGGTCTACAAAGTGAGTCCAGGACAGCCAAGGCTGTCTCAAAAAAAAAAGAGAAAGAAAGAAATCCAAATAATAATGAAGAAGGTACAGTGTAAAAATGTGTCCAAATGTTTGCCTTACTGATTTCTTTTAACAGGAAAAGCATGGAGTCAGGCAAGTGGGAAAGAATGTGATTGGTCCATATGCCAATTCAACTACATAGAATGTGACTTACTTTGGAAATGATAAAAGAAATGGAAAGTAAATAACCTGATGAGATGGATCAAAGTATGTGAGGCCTGTTATGCAATAACTATGCTTTCCAACCCCTCAGACTAATGCTACTTCGCCTCCATCTTGTGGCTTGAGCATTCTGTGGTCAAGAGACCTTTGTCCTCTGCTGGACAAGTGAGCTGAGCTCTTGTAGTTGGGCCTGCCGTTCACAAGGCTTCCAAGTTTGTCTTCTCATTTTCAGAACCTGAAAGCGGGTGAACTTCCGCAGCCACGTTCACCAGATGAGTATAATTTGGGAGATGTTTTCCTAGGAGTGGAGTATATCTTCCAGCAGTGCAAAGAAAATGAGGATTTCCACGACATCCTGACGGTAAGTGGGGGTGCAGGATCAAATATTCGCTAACAAAACGGGCCGTAGAGAAGGTTGGAAAGGAGACACCTGTGTGCACCCTAGTACCCACAGGTGCCCTTGAACCGCTGGGGAGAACTTACAGGCAGAGCCGGGAAGCTTCAGGCTTGGGGAAGTGAGGACGCACTGGGGAAGTAAACCCAGGAGTTCCCAGGGGCCTTTTCAGTTTTTATGTCTAGAAATGAGGAAACCATGTTTCCCCGACTGAAGTTTGCCAGATTGGCTTCTTATTGCACGGCCCAAAATAGAACAGGAGCCAAAACATTTCAGGTTTGGAAGGAAGGGAAGGGAAGCTCCTGACAAGAGAAGTGTTACCATTGCTCAATAGAAGCACCTGGCTTCAGCACCCGGCTTCAGCCGCACAGCCACAGCCTGGCTGTCTGTGTGCCTTCTAGAATTTAAGAGCGACCTGAAGCAGGCTCTGTAGGTGACTCAAAGTTAAGCGCCTTGGCTTTGACTGTGTCCTTGTTCCAGGTTCACTGTGCTATATCATGAGGAGGAAGTTGTAATTCTTTATTGTGACAGGAAGTGGCCCAGAGCCAGCAGTGGTACTGCCTGCTAACACAAAAGAACAGCTCTGCTTTAAAGGAAATAAGAAACTAGTTTATTCTGAGCCAAATTATGAGTGACTACTGAGGCCAATCGACAGATTCAGGTTATGTGGAATGACATGTTAAAACATGGAAGGGGTTATGTGAACTTTCATAGTCAAAGAACAAAAGACAGGTACAAGTTAGTGCTTTCACCGGTGACTTCAGGGCGGACATCAGAAAGACAGGTACCAGGAGATGGTGACAACTCTGTAAGCTTCTGAGGTGATTGGCTTTAGGGCTGGTGAAGGTTAGAGATGTGTCAGACTAACCACACTTTCCAAGAGATCTGGTAAACCCAAGGTTGGTAGTAAATGGCTATTAAAAAGGACTGAAGAAGCCAGGTGAGGTGGCACACACCTGTAATCCCAGCACTCGGGGAGGCAGAGGCAAGAGGATCTCTGTGAGTTTGAGGCCAGCCTGGTCTACAAAGTGAGTCCAGGACTGCCAAAGCTACACAGAGAAACCCTGTCTTGGGGGGTGGGGGGAGGAAGCTGGGGAGGAGGAGACTAAAGATTGCTTTAGTTTGATTTGCAGTATTCCTCTCTATAATCTTAATGTTCTGGTTGGCCAAAGCTAGCCAGCATGCAGGCTATTCATTAGATGTGGCCTCTTTGGACCTGCTGTAGACCTCAGTCCCTCCTCTGCACTCTGCTCTACCCTCTCTTCTGTGGGCTACAGACAGTTCTATGTGTAGCTGGAAGCAGTCCACAGCAATTCTCCCGACCCAGCCTCTGCCTCCACACCCCTCTCCAACCTCCTGGAATCCTATCCTGTCTCTCCCTGAACACGGTGCCCGATCTCTGCACTGATGCTCTGACATTGTTTTTCGACTCCATCCAGTCACAGGGCTTCACTTTCCAGAGTCCTTGGCTCCTTCACTCTTAGATTAGCAGTTTTAAGAGATATAGGCCCAGGCTAGAGGGATGGCTCAGTGGGTAATAGGATGCACTGTTCTTCCATAGAACCTGAGTGCTATTCCCAGCACCCATGTTAGGTGTTTTACAATTACCTTTAACCAGCTCAGGGGATTCAACGTCCTCTTCTGGCCACCAAGGGCATCTGTACTCCTGTGCACAGTCACAGACACAGATGCACGATTTAAAAATAATAAGTAAATGAAATGTTGGAGACTCAACTACATTGCCCAGGCTGGTCTTGAACTCTATATCAATCATTACTTCACTGCAGCCCTTCTAGATCTCTGAGACTACAACCACCCATGAGCCATCCCTGCTTAATTCTAATTGGATCCCCAATACTGTCCTGTCAGGGACAGTCGACCCTCTGTACCTGTGCAAACAGTGTTGCTCTTCGCTAATCAAGTGAACTGTGTGAATTGTTCCACTTTACACAGGAGGGGACTGGGGCTGGGAGGTAGCTCAGTGGTGGAGCACTTTCCTAGACGGGAGGGAACTGAGTCCTGTAACTCCCGCCCAGTGTGGCAACTGCTTGTCCTGACACAGGAAGCTCAGTCTTACCAGGGTAGTCTGTGACCTTGAAGGGCAGCTTCTTGGTACATCATCCCCTGAGCTGGCTTCGTGATTATTCCAACAGGTGACAGCCACCCATGGACTCTGTCACCTTCTGGGTTTCACCCACAGCTCCAAGGCAGAGTGGCAAAAGGTAAGAGCAGCACTTGTACAATGGCCTTTGCGCTACCCACAGACGTAACCCTAACCCCTAGGCTGCTGTCCAGCCCCATGCACCCCGTGGTAAAGGCAGAACTATGGCCTGCACCTCTCCAGCCTGAAAAGATGAGGTAGTGTTTTTAAATAGCTGGCTCCTCATGAGCCTTATATAGTTCACTACTAAAAGGCACCTGGACAGACAGATTAAAAGTTAAATTTCCAGCCAGGTGTGGTGGTGCATGCCTTTGATCCTATATTTCAGGGAGGAAGAGGCAGGTGGACTGCTGTGAGTTCCAGGCCAACCCGGTCTACACAGTGCGTCCAGGGCAGCCAAGGCTACACAGAGAAACCCTGTCTTGAAAAAAAACCAAAAAAGAAAAAAAAAAAAGTTAAAATTCCCTGAAGTGCTAGCTATTGTTAATGGGAGTCAGAAGACACTTAATGTTTAGAAGAATTTCACCCATACAAATAAATAAATAAATAAATAAATAAATAAATAAATAAATAAATAAATAAATAAAGACCTTACCCATCAGTTGGCACCAGGTAATGTGAAGTAGTGGTTTGTTTCTTCTAATAGCCAATGGGTACCACATCTATAAAGCCACCACAGTGTCTGACAGGCTTAGGTTATATTTGTGACCAAATAGCCCTACTGCTCGGAGTGAACTCTTTGTTAAGATTTTCTATTTATGTGTGTGTACCTTCATGAATGTATGGGCACCATGCATGTGCAGGAACCTGCAGAAGCCATAAGAGAGAGTTGATCCCCAGGAACTGAAATTACAGGTGGTTGTGAGCTTCCTAGTGTGGATGGTGGGAACCAAACCCAGGTGATCTGTCAGAACACTGAGGGCTCTTAACTGAGCCATCTCTCCAGCACCCAAGAATGAACATTTTGGTTTTTTTCAATTAAAAGTAGATCCCCTACCGGGCAAGGTGACACATGCCTATAATCCTAGCACTCAGGAAGGTAGAAGCAGGCAGATGTCTGTGAGTTAAAAGCCAGCCTGGTCTACACAGCGAGTCCAGAACGCCAAGGCTACACAGAGAAACCCTGCCTCAAAGAAAAAAAAAAAAAAGTAGATGATCTCCTTCTGGCTCTGCTACTGCCCAGAGTTTTCTATGCCCACTCCCTCCCTGCTCCACATCTCCCTGGGTCCCTTCTCTACCCCAGCTTCAGCCTTTGGGAGCCCACCCTCTGCTGTCCTTACTCATCTGTACCTCCTGTCCACCCGGAGGCTGTCAGTCTCTGTTCAGGTGCTGCCTTTAGCCTCGTGCAGAGCTGAGCTGGGAGTGCTGGGGAGGGGGAGGACTCCGCCTCGGGACAAGGGTCCAGGAGTTCCCTCTTATCAGCTTGTGTGCTGCTGTGGTCCAGATGTACAACCAAGAGAAGCTGGTGCTGGAAGAACTGAGCCGCTACACCGGAGCCACACTCCAGCCCCTGACCAGGGACCTCTACTGACGCCTCGATGCTCTGAGGGAGAGAGCTGGAAGGACAGAGTCCTGTCCCTCCACACTGGATTGCTGCTGGTTATGCTGTCCTGGAGGACATCAGCCCACACTAAAGCTTAATTTCTGTGAATGGAAATTGGCTTCAGAAAGTACCAAAGAAGTATGTCTGGCGCTCTGAGTAGACACTGTCTTACCAGTGTAAGCAGAATAGGCCATTCTAAGTGAGGAAACATGGACGCCTTGTATGCTTCTTTGGGTTTCTAACTAGAGTTTGAGTGGACTGCCCTGTCTCCCTGAGGCAGAATGAATATGCCAGAACACTGAAGTCAGTTCTTCCTAGGATGGACACCTACAGACAAGCAGACTTGAGAGGGCAAGGTTCCCACCCCAACCCTCAGGAACTCTGTGACCTGAACCTTGCTTGCTGCTCCTTGTGCCCTCACTTTTCTTAAGCCATTGGCTGTAGACACCGGAAATCCCACTGACCTACAGATCTTGTCACCTGGGGCCAGAGATTCAGGTTTATCTCCCAGTTCCCCTGTCTTTGTTGTTGTTTCTCATTTTTAAATTATATTTTATGTATCTGATGTATGTGAGTATGTGTGGTGTACCTGTTCCACAGCATGCGTGTGGAGGTCAGAGTGCAAAACTGGCTGGAGATGGTTCTCTTCTTCTATTATGTGGGTCCCAGGAAGTGAACTTAGGGTTGTCAGGTTCACAGGAAGGTCTTTTACCCTCTGAGCCATCCCACTGACATCCTGTAGGCCACTGTGGTCCCTGTCACTGGGGCTCTCCCCATTGGCTCTTAGTGGCATGATAATTCTGCTCAAGTCCTGGAACATGGGATTCTGATCAACCTGAAGTCCAGCTGTATTGGCATACTGAATGCCTATGAAAGTGAACATCACTTGTCTTCCCAGAATGTAGCCAGTGACCTTGGACCTCGATAGGGTTTCCTGACCTCTCTGCTGTCTATACTCCCATATACACTTACGGCAGACTGTTCCCTTCTTCACAGTCATCTATCTGCTTTGTCATCTTTGAAAATGACTGCTTCTGTGTTGCTTGTTTTTCTATTTTCCCTTTTCTTCTTGGTTTGGCATTTCCGGTTTAGTTTGGTGGGTGTTTATAAAAGGAACTTTCATTTGCCTCTTTCAGTTGTTGGCTTGTAGGATTATTGCCTCGCTCTGCTAACCTAGGCCTAGTCTTGGAAGCTTCTAGCCTCCATACAATCTAACCTAGGCCTAGAATGTTTTCAGCCTCTGCGTAATAAGCTCACCCTTTCTTGTTCTTCACTGAGTTCTGGACTGGCTGGTTCAACTCAGCTGTTCTGCCTTAAATTCCTTTCCCAGATGACTTATTCAGTCTGGCTTCTCTCTTGGCATTTGAATTGTTCTTTTTGGTCTTAAACTAACTCCAGCTCTACTCTAATCTCCTGGCTCCTTCTCATCCTCTGGCTCATTCAGTCTTCACACAAGTTCTTTCTGCAACTTGTCTATTACTATCCCAGTAAAACTGCCTCCTCTCTCTCTCTCTCTCTCTCATTGCCCCTTAAGTAGCTTCCCTTTCTTCTCTCTTCTCGTGAGAGTTGGGTGTATCCTGTTCTGTCAATTCTCTCTGTCAAGTCACTTTTTCCCCACTTAATTAAACATCGTGTTCGAGCATGGGTGCTTCCTTCTACAAACTATCTTTACCTTCATTGTTTGGGATTAAAGGCATGTACCACCACACCAGGACCTAAGCTTTTCTTTACCTGAAACTTGCTCTATACCAGGCGGCCTTGAACTCAGAGATCTGCTTGCCTCTGTCTCCTGTTTGCATTCCAGCCAGATCACACAGACCTAGAAGGTCTTTGGATGTGATCTCTTGCCAGAGCAGCCATACTCCGAATTAAAATTCCTCTTTGGCTTCACCTTGCAGTGCTGTTGATGGAATCCAGGGCATTGTCATGCTTGGCAAGTGCTCCACTACATTCCCAGCTGGTTGCTCTGCTGCCCTAAATCTGCGGTTTGGCCAAATCTGTGGTATGGAAGTCCAGCCACACTGCTGTGGCTCCAAGCCTGTGGGGGCAGGTTCTGTCCTGCTGTTCCAGGAGGCACAGAAATCCTTTGTTACTTTGTGTTTACTGCAGATTCAGTCCCCTACTTCTGTGAAGGACCTATGATCCTGATGAGACTTACATGATCTCTGTGGACCAGTTGCTGATGTGAAGGCTCCAGCCCATGTATGGACCTGGTTGCTCTCTTCTCTGGGCCATCTTTAAAATCTCTGCTGAGGGTGGGTGGGTACAGGTGTGCATAGAATGACCTCAGTCCCCATCACCACGCTTAAGGGGCATAGCCAGGTGAAACTTCCCCCAGTCACTAGGGCCCCCTGAGCCCACTACAGGACCTGCTCAGATTCTTCAGCCCTCCACACGTGAGCCTCGGAACAGCTGGATTGAGAGGGACTAGGAAGACTGAATGTGAGGGCGGGTGCATGCGCACTCCCCCGTTGCTTCCATAAGCCGGTGTTGCTCACAGAGCCAGGGTACTTGCAGGTGCTAATATACTTCCTCCTGTTAACCCAGCAATGCCACGCCATCCAAGACAGACAACATCTGTCAAATTTTACCCTCTCTCAAATTAACAACTATATGAGAGACAAACCATGTTAGAAATTACCATGAAACCGGGAAATTGTATAAAGTCTTTATTTGTTGCTTTTAACAAAACACCCTAGAACAACACCCTGTGTGCACTGAAGGGTGGTTCTGTAGGAAGCAGATGTCACCACCCTGGAGCCCCCTTGGAAGTGTGTTGCATTGACTTGTTCATCCATGCGGACATCACATCACCGTCTTCACTGTGTGGGCGCCAGGTCAGGCCCAGACAGCCCACATGGGGCTAACTGGCAACTGTGAATCATCTTGCCTCTGACCTGTAGGGTGCCAGCGATTTTAAAGTGGGCACCAGCTTTTTGGTGAGAAACTTAGCAAATGAAAAAACTTAAGCAATTGAAAGCTTACTAGAATACTTGAAGGTAACATCTATAGAGACAGGTGGAATTTAGCACGCCAGCAATTCCCAACTACCAGGGCGGCAGAGGCAGGAGAATTGCCGGCCTTAGCAACTCAGTGAGGTGCTATCTCAAAGTGATAAACAGGTCATGATGTCAGCGTAATAGAAAGAGCACTTGGCTAGTGTGCTTGAAGGCCTGGGTTCTCAGATGGGCTGGTGGACATGCTTTTAATCCCAGTCCAGGATGGCCAAGGCTATACAGAGAAACCCTATCTCAAAGAAAAAAAAAAAAAGAGAGAGAGAAAAAAGAAAAAAGCCTGGATTTACTATAATACCACAAAATAATAAATCTTTAAAAATAAAACATTAAGCCAGGTGTGCTGGTGCACTTGCAGTGCTTGGGTGACAGAGACAGAAGATCTCTGTGAGTGTGAGGCAAACCAGGTCTATACAGTGAGTTTCAGGACAACCATCACTGCATAATAGACCTTGTCTCAAAACCATTTAAACAACAAGGTTAGGCAGACATTTAATCTCAGCACCCAGAAAACAGTGGCAGGTGGAGCTCCTTGAGTTCAAGGTCAGCCTGGTCTACATGGCCAGCCAGGGCTACAGAGTAAGACCCTGTCTCAGACAAACAGAAAAGGATTCCCGGCCTGATTGCACATGTCTAATCCTAGCAGCAGGCAATCGAAAACAGAAGGGCTGTAAGCTTGTTGTCAGCCTGGTCTCACAACAACAACAAAACCAAAAGGGAAATCATCTTTGCCAAAACAACAACAACAACAAAAAGACACCAGAAAGTAAAGGAAGCGCGCACACATACATGAAAGAAAGCTGACAGGGCCGGGGTATGGATGGAACACAGACAGTGGTCAAACACCCGCTCGGAGCCAAGGTACAGTGTGTGTGTGTGTGTCTCCTGGAAAGATGCTTAGTAAGCAGCATGCACATCCATTTACTACACAGCCTGCAGGCGGCACGTGTGTTATTGTTAGATTTAAAATTTTTATATGCGTGAGTGTTCTGCCTGCATGTGTGAACGTGTACCATGTGCATGCCTGATGCCCAGGACATTGAGGACATTGAATATCCCGGAACTGGAGTTACAGACAGTTGTGAATTGCCGTGTGGTGCTGTGGATGGATCCTGGGTTCTCTGCAAGAGCAACAAGTGCTACAAGTCTTGCCACCGAGCCACATCTCCAGCCCTTTTTTGTTTGTTTGTTTTTAGAGACAGGGTTTCTCTGTCCCACTCGAGCTCTGGCCTTGAACTAGAGATCTCCCTGCCTCTGCCACTCTAGTGCTGGGACTAAAGGTGTGTGTCACTATGCCCAGCTCCTTATTTTATTTGTAATTATGTTCAACCAGCCACAGAGGCTGTGTGTGTGTGTGCAGAAGTGGAGGCCAGAGGACTTCTCCTTGTTCGTTCCCCCCTCACCCCCAAACCTCCTGCACCCCCATGTCCTGAGGATAAAACTCAGTTATCATATGTGACAGCAAGCGCCTTTACCTGCTGAACAGTTTTGTTGGCCCTGTATATTTTAACTGAAACCACATCACAAATTTGACCATTCCAGGCATGACAATGGGTCTTCGCCAGTTACTATATTTGACTTCCCCTTGGTCTGTGTGTAGGCATGTGCAGCACATCAAGGAAATAACAGAGCTTCACACATGTTCAAGTAACTGTCTGCCACTGAGCTGGCCACAGCCTCAATTGACTTTTTATTATTATTATTATTATGTATACCATGTTCTGTCTGCATGTACACCTGCATACCAGAAGAGGGCACCAGATCCCATTATAGATGGTTGTGGGCCACCATGTGGTTGCTGGATATTGAACACAGGAACTCTGGAAGAGCAGCCAGTGCTCTTAACCTCTGAGCCATCTCTCCAGCCCTCAATTTGACTCTTATTCCAGCCTTCCATAGGAATGCTTGAATGTGTAGATGGCTGTAATGATCTATTCTGATTTTGAGCTGCTTTTCTTTCATAATAAAATGTTTGTATCTTGTCTGAGTGAGGCGTTCATTCCCCTTGCTTTCCCAGATGGCCCTGAAAAGTAACCACGGCCGGCAAGGACACAATGCTTACCAAGATACAGAATAGTCTGACACACCTGGAAAGGCAGCACTTTTTTTTTTTTTTTTCTTTCAGAGCAGCTCTCAGGGGAATCCAAGGATGTAACATGAGGGGTTGCCTTGGGCTGGATGTAACATGGGACCTGGGCTGAGGTGAAGGACACTCTGTGGGACTAGTCCTGCTGGGCATGGACTGGTCTATGCCCAGTCTAACGCATGACTTTCCCCAAAGGTGACATAGATCCACCTGGCCTGGCAACTGGGGCTACAACCTGCCACCATGGTAGACTGAATTTTTTTTTTCTGGTCATCCTGGCCTGACCACAGGGTGAATGTGCTCGTTGGCATACCATGCGGAGAGGTGACCCGGCCCATCTTTCCACTTACCCGCTACAAGACGCTAGCTTTCTCCCTGCAGACTTGCATGCTAGGGGTTGCTAGGCTGGGAGTTAGCCGGCTCAGTTAGGAAGCTCATAGTGGGTAAGAAGCTGGCTGCTTGTGGGAGGGCAGTAGCTGCAACCACTGGAGGCCACCCGGCATAGCCTGAAGGGGCGCCAGGCATGGAGGCAGCCTGCAGCTGCGTGGTGGGCGCATAGTGGTGGTGGTGGTGGACCGGGGGTGGCTTCTGCTTTTCAGCTCGGAGGACTCCCGGCTGCAGAGGACACAGCCAGGTCAGGACTGCAACATCCTTTCCTATGCCTGGGCCCAAAATGTGGGAAGGGCGGCAGAATTTGATGGGAGTACAGCCTAGGCCTAGAGTTCTCTGGGCCCCAGCTGTATTAGAAGGACTCTTGCGGAAGGACCGGGGAACATTGCCTTTATCACATACCCACAAGCCAGAGAAACCTTTGCAGGGGTCCTCAGGAATGCCCACCACCACCACTACCACCCCTGCTTCCCCTACCCCAACTCTGCAGCAACTGGCTGAATTTCAGCACCCAGCCCCACCTGGAGGGTAGGAGCACGCGGCCCTGTGGTTCCGGGTGGCAGGGCTTTGAGCATCATGTTCTGCATGAGGATCTGGTGCATCTGTGCATTCTGCATCAGCATCATCTCCACCATGTCTGGAAGGAGAGTTGGGTTCTTATTTGAGTGTTAGTGAGAGACCGAAAAAATTAAAAATTAGCAGCTATTATTAATTAAGGCCTGAACTAGGTGGGTGGAGAAGTCCAGTAATGCCCTGAGGGGAAGGACCTGCCTTACTGCATTCTTTTCCCACCCACTGGAGATAACAGTTGCTAGGAAACTGGCCCATCCCCCTATGGAGGGAAACCAGGTCATTATGGTCTGGGGACCTTCCTATAGCCAATCAATTCAAAATGTAGCATTTTGACCAATAGATGCTTGCCAGGCAGGAATTGCCTCTGCCTTGGGCATGCTGGGAGGGACCAGAATCTATATAATCATCCAACTAACCTGGGCACAGGGCGCTCGGCTCCCACTGCTTTGGCGGTGGGGTGTGTGGGCCCAAGCTGCAGCTTGTAATTTACAACAAAAAGACCCTCATGTATTTACGGCGGAGTCTGTTTATTCCTGGTCTTTTGGGGTTCGTGAACTGGGCAGACATTAGCACCTGATGATAGGCCCTGCCCTGACATTAACTGCTCCTCACATTCACTAAAAGCAGCTGTGGAGCCCGACAGCATGAAGAGCATTCTGACAAGTGTGTCTGCTTTTACTAAGAGGAAAGGGAAGGGACGACAAGGGGATGGATTGGGTGGAATGGGAAGAAATAAAAAAGACTTTCCCAGTCCCTGAGGGAGGGTAGCCCTGCCCAACCCTGCATTTCCAGGTCTGGCCTCCAGAAAGATAAGCTGGTTTTAGGCCACCCAGTGTGGGGATTTTATTACCATAGGAACAGTGTGCTTACCAATCACCAACAACAGTACCTGGCAACATTCTAATTTTTGACAGTGTAACAGACAAACATCAGTTTTTCCCACAGCAACGGAGCCAGAAACAGTGCCTGGACTCTGTTAGCCTCCCTAAAGGAACATCCTCCAGAGCCAACTTCTCAAACAGACAGCCACGCCCAGGTGTTAGGGTGGGGCTCAAACAGAAGCTCTAGGCACTGGACAACCCAAAGCAGGCCCTTGGAGGAAGCCAGACCTTTGTCTCAACCCCCATGCAAGACAAAGGCAAAATCCAGAAGCTAAATGACTGACCCACTCAGATCAAAGACTCCAGGAGCATTGGGGGAGGCTCTGCCCAGCAGCAGGAGTGGCAGGTACTCCCAAATGGAGGGTTCTGTTAAGTCAAGCTGCTTGGGCCCCCTTGTCAGTCTAGTACAATACCAGACAACTAGATGAGAGACCAAATGTGATCACCCACACTCTGCAATGTCACTCGGTCTGTCACTGGCTAAAATGTGGATGTGCATTATACTAACCAAACTCAGTCATAGAAAGACAAAACTTACATGTCTTTAGTTACATATTCAAACATGTCAAATTTGGAAAAACAAAGCAAAGCCGTGCCTGCAGAGATTGTAGGGGAGAATGTCAAAAGAGGCAGTGTTCTAAAAGCTGTAAGATCAAGCATTAATGCTTTAGTACAACAATATCATTTAATTCTTACCACTGAAATGCACATCTAACAAGTAGTTTGGGTGTCTTATATGTTGTTTGTTTTGAGACAGGGTCTCTCCATGCAGCCCTGGCTCTATTGGAATGCCTAGAAATCTGCCTGGCTCTGCCTCCCCAGCACTGGGGTCAAAGGCAGGTGCCATTAGCATGCTTTTGGTCAGTTCTGATGTGTGTGTGTGTGTGTGTGTGTGTGTGTGTGTGTGTGTGTGTGTGTGT